AAAACCAACCATGATAATATATATATATATATATATATATATATATATATATTCGCTCACCCTAATATAGTCTTAAGTCTTTTATCACAGATAATTAGGGCATGCTACTGTAAAAAATTAAATAAAAAAAGAGGACATACAGCTTGTTGTGAGACTGAAGGTCATGGAAACATATTACTGTCTGTTCAGTGGGTTGACTTTTACAATAAGATGAAGCTACTGTATAGATTTACATTCCATCTTATTCTATGTACAAGTTTTCAGTATTTCCACTTATAAGGCCAGACTTTCATGTCACTGTATCACATTTTGTTGTGTACCATTATCTGAGAAAAAGTCATTGAAAGCACCATTTTATCTTACAGAGCTAAACCAACTATATATTCATTTCTTATAGGCATTCACAACAGTCAGATTTAGACATTTTTATTTATATATGTATATATTCATTACTGTATATTTACAACTCAGAGACCTCTAGTTAAAGGGCGGTAAATGGTAATGTTTATCCAGAGCGTAGAGTTAAGGTGGTTTATTTAGATAGTAACTAAACCTAAAATTATCTACTAATTAAAATATTTCAGTCACATGGAGGCAGAGCAAGATGTGCTCTGACTGAAACAGAAGCTTCTTTATTGTTCGGGTTGTTTTATCCATTCAGGATGTAAAGAAAAGACATTATAAAAAACAAAATAAAAAGGTTACACTTGACAAATTTTATAGCCTGCTGGCTCAATTTATGAACAAACATTATGCTAAGAGGAAAACATTATCGAATATTTTTACCACATTAAATTAGTTTATCAATTTAAGGCCTATAGTAAATTATTATAATATTCCTTAAGGGTCCTAAATATCCTTATTGTAAGTCATCACAATAATTGTCATTCAATACAGAAGCTAAAGCAAATTTATCAAACTTATACACGTATACAGTAAAACCTATACATTCTTTCTGTTGTACTGACCCATGAGTTAATGGTACTTTTTTCATTTACATTATATCAAGGTATTTCTCAAACAGTTTTTATAGCTTTTGAGGTATTTTATTTCAAAAAGTCAGTCTGCTTTTCCTCTCTTGACATTATGCAAATTAAGAAGAACAATGATATGTCACAGGGAGTAAAGAATTGCACAATGGCAGCTGTATATTCCTGAAATACTCATATCAGCATAACAGCCATGGTGTCGGTGTAGAGTTAGGGAATCTTGATGCTAATTGGACATTTTGTGCAGGGTGCTGTAGTTACCAGTCAATTTCAGCAATTCACCGCCCTCAAACTAGAGGCCTTAGAGTCTGGCTCGGTGGATTGATTCCCATCAAGTATTGTAAAGTACATACTTACTCTATCCATGTGAGTTAAAAACATGACTTTGAACGATAGCAGCTATCAGCGTGAAATAAATAAAAAAAGGATGCAAACAAAGCAAACAATTTCAGCACAATTGTAGCACAACAATCTGTACTTACTGAGTAACAGAGCGCATGTCTTAGACATTAGTACAGTTTGGAAATTCCCTTGTAACAATTCTCTCCACATTTCTTCCAATTCCTCCTGAAAACATGCAAGAAATAACAAAATAGGCTAAATACAGGGACAGCCGACTGCTTTGACATCACATGCACATCACAAGTTGCTTTGTTTTGAGGATATGATGATAAAAGAATTATGAAAGACAATCTTTGTGAACACAACTCTGAACTGGAATCTGTGATATTTTGCATTCATCTACATGACATTGACTTTGGTATGAAGTAATAACTGCCTTTAACATCAACCAAACAACTCAAAGTTCAATCTTGCTCTTTTTACTTGAAGATCAAATGGTTTGTATAAGCTTTTATACTTAATTATAAAGTCATCAGCCATGCATTTTTATTGAAAAGCCCCCTGTTGTCTCAAAGGAACATGGCCTATCCAAGCAGGGCTGAGCTAGTGATAGAGGGCTGATAAGATAGGATCGCTGTGACAAGTGGGGTCGTTCCGATTGTGCAGACACAGGCTCTTTTCAAAGGTGGCACTTTTATCTCCAAACTGTGTCAGTAGTTTAAATTCAGTGATTTGTACAAAGCTGTGTGAAGCTAATTTCATGTTGCCCACATAACTAATAACCTGGCAGTAAATGCATCAAGGTAGGGATCTGGCAGTCAGTTTAGATTTGCTAAAGAAAATGTGATTTATGAGTTTTAAATTGCTTTTACATGGAGTATATTCTAAGACTAAGATATTGCAGTCTGCAGCAAAATTTTAATTGTCCCATGAGCCTCAACAGAAGTTACTATATCACTCTATGCCAGCCAGGATTGGCTGAATTCAAAGAGCTGAGTGTCCAGGAGGGTATTTATCAAACTGCTAAAAATAAAAATTTGGACCTGCAGTGAAAGTTAAAATCCTTTTCTGCTTATCACAAACGTAAGATTAAAAGCTATCATTCAATTTAGGAGAACTCAAGAGACCCCTTAAGTGGGCTATAAACAGATGTTTGCAGTGCAGTAACAGAGGTGAGCACACATCTTTTTAGTTTTGGATTGATTGTACAAAATAATTTCTCATGTATCTCATCTACCAGCAGCAGTTCTTTCTTGTTCCAGCTTGGTTTTCTTTTTGTTTAGATTCCAGACAATTTCTTATTATTTCATCTGAACATACATATCTAAGTATTATGAATATTAAGATTGTTGTTAATTGTACAATGTACATGTTAATTTCAGCGGTAGATGCAAACGCTGAATTTTTGGCCACTTGGGGGCAGTAGAAAGAAGTGGTGAACATAATATTAACATATCGTCACCTTTTAATTTGAGATGGTGAACTAGCAACAGTTGCTTATTTACACATCCAGCAGTTACGGACCAACATTATCATTTATCTGGATTCATGTCTGTGACCATTTGATGAGTCCAATACTGACTCTCTCTGTGTTTTTGGTCTTTAGCTGCTGAGGGATACATCTGACTCTGTAGCTGCTAAATGGTCCACTGTGTTCACCAGCTAGTTGTTAACTTGGTCCTTCTGCAATTTGGTGCTGAACAGGACTGAGCCAAAACAGTAAAGTTGCAAGCTGAAACCCATTATAAAGCTCTGTAAAGCTGGATTGGAGATGCAGATTTGGGTGATACGAGTGACCGATCACATTGTTTTCAGATTGTCATTTCATACGTTATTATAAAAACATAAATTATTGCTACTTTCAGTGGAGCAGATGTAGGGTAAATGTATGTGATTACTTGAGAGTTTCTCTTAAAGCTTATATTCTGACACTTAGGTAGGAGTAAGTTGTTTAAAGAACCAGTGTGTAGGATTTAGTGATATCCAGCAGTGTAGCTGCAGGTCGCCACTCCATAGCTTCACCCTCTCCTTCCAAGCATGAGAGAGGACCTACAGTGGCCATTAAAATGCCCCGAAATGTTACACACTTTAAGCAGTTTTACTCAGCTAGGATTATTTTTACTCCTAAATTGGCTCTTTCTACCATTCTTAAGTGTAGTCCTTACAGGTTAGATAAATAAGAGCCTAGGCCTCTACAATATATACTTATATAGAGCGCGTGAACAGGTCGGTCTAGTAAGAGACTGATTCATGTCTATCAGAGAACTTCGGTTATATAAATAACATTTTCATAAACGTTCATTTTGTGTCATTTTGAAAAATACTGACTTGACTGCTAGGTAGACCTGTTTTGACAACCTCTTGTCTTGTGTAATGCAACAACTGAAAAATCTTTTTGTCTTTTATAGCTGAATAAATTCTTCACCTGAACTACAAACTTATTATTAAACGTGCCCACGGTTAGCTGTCATATTAATCATTCAGAACCAATTTGTATTAACATAAATCAAATTAAGATCCTTAACTAAACTGAAATTTTCATTTTCATCCGTCAAATCCAGTTTTAAATGTTAAAATCTTGGTTTAAACCTTTATGAATTTTGACCGTGATTCTACTTCATTGCTCCTTGTGCACTGCGACAGCTATCAACGACAAGCATCTTCCTCTTCTTCTTAGAGCTCTTAAACCAATTTGGAATCAAATGAGAACACATAAAATCACTGAACACAGACATTAATTAAATTAAAACTGGTTAATGTTTTTCTCGGGTAGGGGGCATGTTTCCCACAGGCTGGAACAAGACCAAACTTACAGGCAATGGAAAATTGTGCACTGCATAAAATATATTTTTAGGTGTGTTTTAAATACAATAAATCTATCTGTCAAAGTATTCATAATATAATAGTGTGAAATAACCGATAGATAAATCAATGAAGGCAATATTAAAAATAGATGAATGATTAATCCTGCAGTAAGCTGGACAGTGACCTGCAATATCAGATGATAGATGTTATCATCATTTTGTGAAATGGATTGAAAATGGATATAACAAACATTTGTATCTCAGCCAAAATCAGACCACATGAGAAACAAACCATGCCCCATAGTATTAATGAAATCTTTAAACAGAAGGCTGTACATTTCTTTAATCAAGCCCCATATCAAAAGGTCCCATGCAGCTCTGCCTTTTTGTAAATAAACACTTTCGAAAGTAACCAAAAAGAAGTTAATTTGTTTTAGATCAGCAAGGACTCGGAAAGGTAGAAACAGCTGAGAAATGAAGAAAAGCAAAAAGTGCTGAGTGACCAGAAAAAGGGCCTGCAGCCCACATGTCTGTGTCAGGAGCACTGCAATGCTACTTTTGTCAAATAATCCACACTGTCTGCAGGGACCGAATAGTTCTCATCTAAAAGACATCACAGTGGATGTCAGCAATAGCAATAAAAAGTTAACTTGTCATTGTGATATCTAGTTACGGTGCTGCAGTTGTGCTTGTGGTGTACAGTTTGTAAAAATGACACATTGCATTGATAATGACATTACAGCAGCTCAGATGCAAATAAATGTACGGTGGCCTCGCTCATAGAAGAGACTTTGTTCAAATAAGACTGAAACAGTGTCAATTGTTTTGGTGTATACTCTAAATGCAAGTTACAGTTTGTTTGAAACAGATACTCAGGGATGTTTTTAGGGCAATAAAATGTTAATCGTTATCATTCCCTCACAGTGACGTTTATCCTTTTAATCCTGTATTAATGTGTCAGAGTGGTACACAGATGTTAGTAGTCTGTATTTCATTTAGTCTTGGCATAAAGAATTGCATCATAGCTGCCTTATACTGTAGTTTTTACTCTACAGTACATCCTAAAATACATCCACTTAACATTGGTGGTGTGAAAGTTTTATACTTTTACTGATTTGGTAGCTGTAGTTACTAGTTACTGTGCAGATAAAGAATTTAATAATGAGCATACCAAACACAATGCATTGATATACAGAAATAGTACAATTAGCTACATTAAAATGGGTATAATGTTAAAATGCTGTTTATGTGTTTGTACGTCAATAATAATAATTATCTTACTGTATAATATATAATAATGTAACAAAAGAGCCCACATTGGCTGCATAGTGAGTACTTTTACACTTTTAAGTGCATTTTCTATAATAATAAAAATACCTATGTACTTTCACTTAAGTAAGATTTCAAATGCATGTTTTTACTTCTAATGGAGAACTGGTATTGCCACTTTTACTTCAGTAAAATATTGAAATGTTCTTCTTCCACCACTGTTTAAAATACTATATAATAATAACAAATAATCATTGTTAATGGTGCTAAACATGTAGCCATCATACCTCTGCTCCTGGCCTCCAGCTCCTTCTCCATGAGTTCTTTCGGAGAGGGAAACTCACCGAGCTTGACCTTTGACATGCTATCGTTCTGACCGACTGTACTGATAACTTCTGACTCCTTCTCATGACTGTCCTCGGTCTGAACATGGATCCAAGGGATTTTCCTAATAGTAAAGATATACCAGACCAACTGTGTAAGGTTTTTATCAACATGATAAAACATTTCTGATTTACAGGTAAATTTAATACATTTCACCTTCTTATCTAAGTGAACACACCTTTTGAACTTGTAGATGAAGAATGCCGCTAAACCAACAAACACCACAGTGAGCAGCATCAGCATGGCTGACCCACTGTGGATGGAGTTTGAATCCACAAGTGGAGCTGAAAGACAAACACATCAAATAAGCATCACATTTTGACCAAGACAAATGAGCTGAACCCTTTCTTTTTTTCCCATAAACCATGTCTTATTTCAAGGAGATTACTTTCATTACCCCATGTCATGTAAGAACGGCAGGTATAGTTTGAAGAGATGCTCTCTGCATGTCATCCCCTCAGGGTGTTAAAAGGAACCTTTAGGTGGTCTACTGCCTCTCCCTGGGGTCCGTCATGCAGGTAGCTTATGCATAGTCATGGCTTTTTAAATGCTGAGATGCAATATTCAAAGTATTTCCACTCGCCGCCCATCTTTCTCTCCTTCAGAGAGAAGCCTATGAAGTCTATGACCTTTCTGGATCATTTTAAAGGCAACCCAGACCTTTGTATGCAGACACAAATGAAGACAGATCCGTTGGTGGATGAAAAGGGTAAAGCCACGCAGGGTTGATCGACACGTTTTTTGCGATATGCTAATGACCCGGTGACCCTGCCGATTTCCTCAGTGCATACCAAATGCCTTCTTTGTCAATCATGTCATTGATCGGTTGATTTCAAAGAGTAGTACTGTCTCACAGCCTCAGGCGCAAAACTGATGCACTGTGAAATATATTTAAATCCTGTGATAAACTGTATCATATAAATCTCACTCAGGGAATACTGTTGTCTGATTTTATTTTTTCAGTGGTTGGGTAAAACTCAATGTCAAATCATCCCAAGAAAGAAACATGGCTTATCTTTTGCACAGCCGCAAGCAGAACAAATACACTGTGGAAGTGTTCTGGACTAAAGTGGCATAAATTAAGATTTGAATGCTTTGTTTTTATTTACCAGCAAAAGGGTTTTAAATGTAGCAATTGCATTGGTCCAAGTGTGCAGAAATAATAGGTTAAGGTTACAAACAAACTTACCCAAAGTTTGCTGAGTCATGTACACAATAATGCGAATATCAGATTTCAGCTCAAACTGGATCAGGCCTTGGTTCAGGGCAGTGACAAAAATATCTGATATCTGTTTTAGGTATTCAACAAAAAAACAAAAAACAAACAAACAAAGAATGATATATTATGATACAATAAATAACAACAAATCTCTCTATGGTTAAATATTATAATGTCCTAATCTTACCACAAACTGGCAACCTTCTTAAAGGGATAGTTCATGTTTCTTTTAAGAGTTACATGAACTGACTGACACCACTCTCATGTCTGAATGTTGAGTATGAAGCTTGAGCCAGGAGGTGATTAGCTTAGCTTAGCATAATGACTAGAAAGCAGGGGGAAACACTTAGCCTGGCTCTACCCCTAGTTAAAAAATTAAATTCTGAAATTTGCATTTAACTTGTGATTTTAACATTTTTATTTTGTAGCTTTAGATCTTTAGCCAGCTTTAGACCTAACTAATCTAACTAGGGAAATAAGTCAATACATTTTTTTTTTTAATTATTCCTTTTTACGAGAGCCAGAATCAATTAATCTTCTTTACTGGTGGACATGTTTTGGCAAAAGCTGTCATACATACATTACAATATGTGTCATATCAGTACAAGGGAAACTACTATTTTTGGTAAATGTTCACATGATAACAAACACGATACTAATACATATTTCTAGATATCATGATTCTTACCGTCTCTAAAGCCTCCTCACTGCTTCTCTTGTGCTCACTTAAAGCATGCTCATCCGGTAAGATAAAGAGCTCCGCTGTACTTGGAAGTCCAGGGTACAAAGACACCAGCAGCTGATCTTCAGGAACCCCAGACACCTGCAGTGACACAGCAACAACACAGCAGGCAGGTTAATCTCCCCTGTGGAGGTTAAAGTTTGGACTGTTACTTCCAAACTTTGGACAGTAAAATCAAAATGTCCAAACTGACACTGTCTCATGGCAAACATTCTTCAATTTAAATTCCCACCAGATGACTGTCTGATCACTGTCATCAAAGGTAATCTAAAAAAAGACCAAATTTCTTGCATCGACCATAAAGTCAGTACTGCACACAGGTATAAAATAGTAATGACCCTGAAAGCCACTGGTGGCTGATGTTGGCTCCAGGAAACATCTTAGAGCAATAGGGACTTGATGTACCTGTGACAGAGCTGTCCGCACCACACGCCCTATGTCCTCCCTCCACTCTGGGATGTCAGGATTGTGCTCATCAAGAGCTGGCGAGAACGACAACAGCAGCGACCTGAAGAACTCTGGAAGAAAAGTGAAGTGATGTCTGTTAGAATATGGATGCTACTTCTGGTTTCGTTTTTGATTAATCTGATGTGCAGTTTTGTCTTTTTTCATTTGGCAACATACGCCTTGAAGTTAATTGCTCCTCAAGATTTCATGTTCGCCTACCGTGACATTTCATTCATTAGATAAGTACACGTTGACATCAACATGGCGCCGCTTGCAGAGTGGACCAGGAGGCATCATACTTTCTCCGAGATAGCATATTGCATATTCATGTAACGTGCATCGCACCAATTAAAGTGCTTTGAAGACTGTCTCCCCCACTCACCTTTAACAGTTATAACTTTTGAATCCTGCATTATCGTGCTCCCAGAAGCAACCTGGACCGTGACCTTGTTTTTTCCCTCTCTCTGAAACATGTAAGAGATGCTTCCTTCCAAGGTTATAATGGGCTGAATTTCAAAAGGAAAAACACAGAGATTTTCACAGAAAAACTTGCATCCTCTCAGCCGAATATAGAATACTCCGTACATGCAGCCCTTGACACCCTGTATAATGAGGAGGTGCTGCAGTGAGCACAATCAACGTGATAAATAAATATGACCAGCCATTCTAGCTGGATCCTCCAGAAAGACACAGGGCAGTCACATGGTACATGATTTGTGTATAAAAAATAAATAAATAAATAAAAAACACATCAAGGACATCAAGACAAGAATGGGAGAATAAAACATACTGCAGTCAACAGGACATACAATGTGTGTGGAACAATACTGGGTAGTGGGAGGAAGATGAGGCTCACCTCGGAGCTGTTGTCAAACCACCAGAAGAAGGTCAATGTTCTGGTGTGACTCGGCCAAACCACCGCAGTCAGATTAGCCTCCTTCCCCCTGATGGCTACAATAGGAGCGGATAGATATACACGCTCCACTGGACCTGAGGCAGCAACACATACACCAGCACACATCCATACACACATGCACACGTGTGTTCACACAAATAAATGCACCCACACACAAAACACACACACACATATTCATCAAACATGGAGTATTATTGTAATCACAGCTGATGTACATTTAGCTCCAGGTGTGTGTTTTCGCATTTTCCAAGACTTAAATGGCAACCATGGCGGAAATGAAATTCAGTGGAGTGGGAACGTGACTATCCATGAAAGAGAAGAAGTTCACGCTATATGCGCTGCCACAGGAATGAGTAATGATATTTCTTATTCACATACTGGTGATGTGTAAAAACAGTGTGCTGCTGTCAGATCCCAGGTTGTTTTCAGCAGAAGCTGTCACTCGGTAAATCCCAGTTGTTCTGTAGATATGCTTGATGCCGTCATCAGTCCTGCTCAGGTTGGAGTATGTGATCTTGATGCCGTCCCCGAAGTCTAGCTGGATGCTGGTCCTCAGCGAGTCTCCCTGTGAACAGGCAGTAAGACACGGCCTCTGTCACCACGGCTTAGGTCAGAATACTTCAATTAGACCACATACAAGTGAAGTACACAGTCCACTACTAAGTGCTTGGGCTGAGATGTCCTATAAGCTGTGTCACAAACACTTTGTAGGTGAATATGAATGGATGGAGACAGAAATTCAGCTGAGGAAAGAAGTGGAAAGGTAAAAAGTGGGGCTACAGAGAAAAAAAAAAGCAATGAAAGCCTCCCAAAGTAAGAAGGATCAGTTTATAATCTGGTTCCATCTTGCCAACTGATAAAATCATCTAATACAAACACACCCATTATTAAAGTGTTTTTCACCCATATTTCAAAAATAAGAACATATTTTCTCACAAACCCCTAGTGCCATCTAGCCATCCAGATAGCTTTAGTTTCATTTACCCACAGTTTGAGATATCTCGTTTGTAAGATTTCTGGCACCACACTAAAACAATGAGTCAAAATAGCTTCATTTTTCTTAGAATATAAAAAAATACACTTAAAGAATGTCCATGTTACTGTAGACAATCCACAACAGTCAATCATTCTTACAGTGAATATTTTAACAGTAGAAAGTAGTTCAAATGAAAACTGTTCACAGTGATATCTGAAGATTATCCAGAGTAATGATACTGTTTAATTTTTAAATTCACCACAGACAAAATTACATTTACCCCCATGGGCTGGAGGCATAAATCTCAGAGGAACCTGGGAACAAAATAAAACAAAACTATCTGCATGGCTGCACTAGAGGTAAGTGGGAAAACATGTTTTTAGCCATGCTAGTGGCCTGGTTATGGGGATGGCAATGTTGGTCTGTTGCTCTGTTGTTAACGCTCGGTCCCGGCTCAGATATTACAACAACTATTAGATGGATTGCCATGTAATTTTGCCCAGTCCTTCGAGGTCTTCAGGGAAGGAATCCTTTTACTTTTGTGAACACCTGATATCCTACCAAGCAACATCAACTGATTTTCAAATTAGAAATTTTCCAGTGAAATATCACTTCATCTGCTTGGTAAATAGGCACAAAATTAATTCTTATTTGTCTAATACCTAACATTACAATCGTTTTATACAGTAAACACCAATGACATTCTTCAGCTGCAGCTGTACGAGGCACATGTAAGCATGTTAACAGGCTATACTAGGAAGGTGAATGTGGTTACATTAAACAGTTACTACAGCTACTGCCAACACTGCACTTTTTAGACTTTTTGGTGATATGACTCACATCGTCGAGGTAAACCATGAAAGTAACATTGCTTCCGACTGGGGCACTGAGCTCTCCTTGACTGGTGGACAGCCGCAGACCTCGGGGTGGTCTGGGACGGCATGCCTGCCTCCTGGGTGAATACACGTTCCTCCCTCCCTCCTTACAGTTATTAGACAAAACCTTCCGATACCTTTGAAGAATAAGGTTAAAAAACCAACAAAGTATTGTGTCATAATCCCTTATTATATACTAATAAAACATAAACTAAAACATGCATGGGCTATGTAGTAATTTTCATATTACACAACTTTGCATAAATCTATGTTTACTTTTTTCAGCTGTACTTTAAGCCTTTTTTTTCCAACCATTGAGGGAGTAAAGCATTATTTTCTGTTTGTGTTCTAGACAAACAAGCTGGAATGGAATAATATTGTTTTGTGATGGATCGAACATTGGGGGCCACTTACCCTGTGCTGTTAAGGAAGCTTTGGCTGGTGCTGCAGCTTTTAGTCGCACCATTTGGATTAAACCAAAAAGCAGGGGAGCACTTCCCGTCCGCCTGGCGTTCCCACCCATAATCACTGCAAAAAAAACACGACACTTCATGAAATGATAAACACTGCTGCTCAAATAATCTAGCTTCTACGTGCTTTTGTAGTGGGGCAAATGCTGTGCAGTTGGAGCTTCATGGCATAATTTAAGACCAGAACTAGAGACATGATTGTCAGACAAGCAGGATCAAACGGAATTTACGACAGATGGATAAAAGATATTCAAAATTCATTTAACGATTCATTATTAATTGAATTCTAATAAGTCATTTGACATTATGCAAATTACAGTAGTACAATGAAAAGTTCCTAACTCCCATCTACAATTTCAAAACTATAATTAGATTCGATGAATAAAGTCATATTGGTTATCCAGTAAATATGCATTGTAAGATGGATATTAAGGCATATGAAATTCTGCAAACTGATACTTCTGTTTTTGATTACAAATGTCTACAAGCTGCTCTAATTAAGTGCAATTGAATTAGATGTTCAAAGGAGAGGGTCTGTTTGGTAAACATGTAATGAAAGAAATTAAGGATCACTGAGGATACAAGTTACAGTATAGTCCCAGTTGGGAAATCTGAGAGAGGAAGTCATTACCATTCAAAATCATAGGCTGTGCAGAGGCATGGCTCTGAGGAATAGATCCTTGAATAGTCCTGGGCCAGCATGCAACGGTTCCCTGGCCTGCGCTTCATATAGATCTGTTTCTCACCCATCACACACAGCTCCCCCTATCAAGCACAGAAAAAGATGATCTAGTTTTTCACAAGATTGAAACTCACTCTGGAAAGAACAGAGAGACAGAGACAAAGATTTCTGTTCGTGCATTGAGCGGGTGTACTGTGTTTACAGTGACAATGGACAAACATGCATCTCTTGCAGCTGACAATTAATCAATAATGTTTAATATTCCTGTAACCTTGTTGTGCAGGTGCCATGTCTGATAATCTCCATCCATGCATCTCCTGCTGAAGAGGCCCTTGTAGTCAATCTTGATCAGCTGCCACTCTGACCGATGGCTGAAGTGTCCAAAGAAACTGGAAGGTGATTTACAAGAATGCAAATTTCAGATGAGATATGATGGTGTAACAACAGCACCTGTAAATGTGTCATTTGTGCTGACAGGATAAAATTCCCTTGGATGAAAAATTGTAGGGATATCGGGTGATTGCATCCACCGGGGAGCTTCAAGCCTGATATTTGTTTTATTCCTGCTGGACTGTACTAGTGTGTCTCTGCTTACGTTATAATGTGATTGTCAGATTCTGGCTCCATTAAAACTCCATCCACATACAGAGGTGCCAAGGAGAAGCTGTGACGGTCCCATTTCTTTCCTTCGTCGAGACTGATCCTGCATTAAAAATAAACAAACAAACAGCTGTCAGTGCATGAACATCTGTCTGTCTGTCTATCCATCCATGTTTATCCATCAGTAGTGGCTAAATATTTTGTTTTCTCAATGCATATAAGATTAAACATCACAAGCAGACAGGTTAAGTGGTGAAAAACAAGGTACAAAGAAATATGATGAAAGATTTTAGGTCATTTAGCTTTTGCCACAGTTGAAAAATGAAGCACCTTGGATTCTCTTCAATGTGAAAAATTATCTTGACACCGGGCTGAACAACAGAACAAATGTTCCCTGGCGCAGGTAAATTTTTGAAGGTGACAAAACAACAGAAAAGAGAGATATGACTCAGGTTGTAACATTAGAAATAGATTTGGGGGGTTTCAAATCACCTTTCTTGGAGCTTAATCACTTTTGACAGGGCTGTAGTGAGCAGGGACATCAAAGTAGATATTGTTACAAAGCTCCCACAATATGGGGCACTTATGAGGGCATTCTCAGTCTCATATTTCCACCCTGCTCTTCTTTTCATTTACATAAAAGCACTCAAACCATCATATCCAACCACGAGTACAAAGCTGTAACAGACCCTCTTCTGTAGGAAATGATTCTGACAGTTCTGAAGCTGCAGTGCCGATACAATAATCATGCAAACTTGGCCCATCAGCATTTCAAAACATTATGCTCATATCATATGCTGCATCAAACCCAGAGAGATGAAATTATACTCCGGCAATTTTCCACTACACCTCCAACACCTACAGTTCCTACCTACATTAATTATGACATCAGCTATTGTTGAACAGTAGCTACACCTACCATAAGTGGCGAATAGGCGTCGCTGCATGTAAGACTGCCAGCATAGCCCCTCCATTGTCAAGGAACCAAACGTTGTGCTCTTCATCAAAAATCTGCGTCGGTGCACATTGAAAAAACACATTTGCTCCGCTTGTGACAGCACATTTTCAATATGAATACATAATCTGTTTAAGGTAAACATGTGCGGTATGTAGACCCAAATGGGTCTCACCTGTCTCCAGCTATTTCCTGCATCAGATGTTATAAACATCCCAAGGTTGGTCGAGGACAGCTCTGTTCCGATATTTCCTGAGTACAAAAAGATGAATAATTTCACACACATACTGTATGTATTTACATAGCAAAGACTCCATAACACACCTACATGCACAATCACCTGATAACGTTATTTTGCAAATCTGTGCATATCCTCATTTTCCACAGGAGGACACATTTATAACATAGTGCAACCTAATCATCTCACCCAAAAATGAGATTTAGGAGTTGAAGTTTCAGTGTCTGATTTCAATGACAGAAAGAGGGCACTATGATTAGTTTGTGTGGTTTTGTGGTTGCACCGCTACAATGCACTTATCTGGGAAAGGATATCTCTGGTGATAAAAATTAGCTCACAATGTCTAATCTGATCAGTTTAAACAAATGCACATCCTTCAGGTAACTCTACCTGTAGCCACAATGATGCCTGGTACAGACTTCTTGCTGGTGATGGGTCCAGAAGTGTAGGGATTCTCAGACATCTCCAGATGAAGATGCAGCGAACAAAATGGCTGTCAACAAAACGTATTCCAATGCACCGGTTGAGACAATATGTATCAGACAGATCTTCACAGAAGCAATTATAATTAGCTTTGCCTTCAAACTATTCTTTCCATTGAAACAAAAGTGCTAACATTTTCAGAGACCATTTATAAAACAAAGATACTTTGTTCCTCTCATCTCCTCTGCTGGGAAAAAAAGACAGAAAATGGCTGAGAGGACAGAGAGGGCATTTGAATTGTTTCATTCTAAAGCAAACAAGGCATGTAATTAAAATTCCCTAAGATGCACTGATAAAACTGGCAAAATTGATTCAAATCATTTCCACTCATCTCTCAGACTAAAGCACACTGGAAAAAAACATCAATAAGGCTTTTCAAACAGCTGAGGTTGGAGGAGGGTCAGAAAGCAGACAAGAGCATAATGGTCATATGTATGACACAGAGAAATACTATAACCTGCTATTAACTGAACAATACACATTATTACTAAGGAACATACTGCCTGGATTAGGTGCAAACCATACCTGCTGAATAACAACACAGCTGCATAATGTAATTCAGTGTAATCTAACATTCATTAGTGCAGTGTGACTACAGGTAGTAAATTGAAATCAGAGAGGTTAATGGAAAGTCCGGACCCCTGGAACAAAAAGCGATGACACTCTGTGCCTTACACTGATAATAAGAATATTCCAGCCAAGCATCTCCTCGACCATTTAGGAGTCTAAAAAGGCAAGCTGATGCTGAGGCTGGCGCCTCGCCCTGTGCAAATATGGCTCTGACTCAAAGAACATCCAAAGCACAGCTGATGAGGTTGAAACATTTGATGAATGATGTATGTCATAAGCTTCATTTCGCATGAATAAGAGCATTTATTCACAGCTGCCCAAAGGCTCAAGCTCACCAGGATGCAGTGAAGGTTATTTCCCGCAACGTCTGTGGCAGGAGCCGGCAGCAGGGCCCATGTTTGTCCCTTGTTGTATGTGATAAAACTCTTGATATGATTGTCCACCAGTTTGTTGGCAAGATACATGCCGTTTATCCCCTCGACCTACGAAGGAAAACAGCAAACATGCATTTAGTGTCTAAAGGTACTTTCCAGATGTATCAATCATATTCACGATGCTTTCAAGTATAAAGCATTGAATCAATAATAATTGATTTATCATTTGAGGAGTGGCGGAATAAGTATTCAGACCCTTTACCTAAGTAGAGTATACAACACCACA